TTGAATTGATTTGTTTATTCTGTGGTGCTGTCCACTCATACTTGCAGCATAGCTTGTAACAGACTAAACCCATTTTACTAACTGATAACAATTGGCTCACACCAGAGGCGCCAGACGACAAGCATTCCTGTTGGATTCTACATTAAATAGAAAACTCCAGTTTTGTTTTATGTATATACATTACACATGTTACCTGCTCAATCCGTTCACTGCCAGAAACTGTGTTGTCACTAATTTATCAGTACCTTCTAGTGGCTGAGGTGAATTTTGTGCTTCCATCCATTATGTACTGGTTCAGGATTTAAAAGAACTTCACTTATATCATAAACAATATTTGTGCTGTTCATTGTCTTATCAAGTTCAGGCTTATAACTAAAACCTCATACTATGTTAAAATAAAAAAATTCAAAGTTATGTTTACTTATTTCTGAATTCCATTGCAAATTTGTCCCCTCATTCATAAAATATCTTAATTATAAAAAAAAAAAAAAAAACATATTGTCCTATCAACATGTTTCTATGTTCTTTAATTATTGTTTGTCCATATCTCTTTGAAACTGCATTTCAATTCAATTTGTCGGGTCCTGTCAGTGTGATATGAATACTAAATACAGGATTATCACATTGAATTCATCTTCTTTCTCAAAAGAAATTAATTGTTTGAAAAACATTATACATAAAAATTTAGATGTAATTAAAATTTATAATTGTCTTTTGAAATTTTTTTGTGTCATGTTTGTTTAATGAAATATGAGGAAGAATAATTTAAGACCCTGCAGTGTTATAGAGGTCTGCAATTTATTCAAGGACTTCTGTCATTATGCATTAAAAGAAAAATCAGGCTTCGTCTGGGCTGGTATAAAAGGTAGTTGAGCATAGATGGGGTAACACGTTTGACAATGAATCTTGTGCTGGATAAAAGTGTAAAATGTTTGCCTTTGCAGACCTCTACAGTGTGGTATTTCAAGTTTAATTATGATGATAGATTGATATGCAAAATTACATAGAATCCATTTTGAAATTATGTGTTCTCCAAATTGGAATATGCCTTTACATTCTTCTTTCTCAAACATTTTCTGTAAAGCATGTCACCAGTTGTATATTATATGACATTTTCTCTCTGGTACTTAATTTAAACATGTATTTAATTTTGAGTAAATTTAATTTTTATGAATAAGATTCTTATAACATACTGAGTGTTATGAAAATTGAAAGACCGTTCAAAATTTGCCATTCATATTGTTATCCATTTTGTATTTTATTACATTACCGAAATGTCATAGACCGAAGTGTCTGTAATTATCAACATTACCAAATATCTGGAAAACTCAGGCATATTAAGTAGTTGTATCATTAAGATTTCTGTAGTATCAAGCCTTAAGAATAGTTGACTGAACTTCACTTTGCTCAGGGAATTCCCTGTACCAGGCAGGATGATGTGTTTTGTTGTAAGGTTGGTTTAAAACTGCTCATTCTTTTAGCAATTCAGTACATTTTCACGATGTAGAAATACATTACATTAATGTTACTGTTTTAATGAAAAGAATTTGTAAACAGTTGTAATGGTTTTGGTGTTTTTAGTTAAAAATTGCAATGATGAATTTCCAGCAGGTGAACGAACTAGAAGCCATTTGGAATACAAGTATCGTGTTAATCCAGTGCATTGTATAGGGGCTTCAGGTGGATGGAGGCATGCTTACAACATAGGCAAAAATTAAGACAGCTCTGTGGTTATGTTTTGATTAGAACTGTGAAATTACTTGATGCCTGCAGGAGTTTGTGTCCACACCAGTAGTTATATTATTGGTTATTACAAATTGCATAACTTCATCATAAAATATATATTTCAGTGTAAGACTTGAGGTTCTCACAGCGGTGAGTATGAAGATTTCCGTCTTCTGGGTTGTTGCGCTGTGTAGTCTGGTCGATGTTAACCAACGTTTCAGAGGTCATACTGCCTCCGTCATCAGGGCGATGAATATGAAGATTTCTGTCTTCTGGGTTAAACGTTGGTAAACATCGACCAGACTTCACAGCGCAACAACCCAGAAGCCAGAAATCTTCATACTCATCGCCCTGATGACGGAGGCAGTATGACCTCTGAAACGTTGGTTAACATCGACCAGACTACACAGCGCAACAACCCAGAAGACGGAAATCTTCATATATTTCAGTGTTTAGCTCTGGTTATGTTAATCTGAAACATTATTTCCTATTTTATAGTTAATGATCAGAATACTCATAAGTAAAAAGTCTTTTCATGGGTAGGGGTTTTGTGGTAGTCAAAATTGTTGAGTCTCACTGTTGTCCTCAGCATGTTATGTCATAAGAACAGATATCAGTATCACTGAAATCAAATACAAATGTTTTGATTCATCAGACAATACTCTAATGTATAGTACTGTTTATACAGTGAAAAAGTTCTGTCCAGCTGAACTACACAGCCCGCTGGCATTTTCTAATTCTGTAATTGTTTACCAGAGTCCTTCAAGTCCCTGAAACCTACTCTTGTTCTTGTAGCATTCTCATTTGACTTTACAGACACTGGCACTGAGATTGTTGCAGAACTAAAGTAAATAGGACACAAGATGAGCAGAGAACTGGCTTGAGATCACTCATTAAGAGTGTTTGTGGTAGCCTGATATCGCTGAGCGATGGAAGTGACATGTATGGCGTAGGCAGATGACAACATGACAACAGATACAAGAACCAGCAGTGGATACAGGAATGGGGGACAAAGGATATTAGAGATGACAGTTTGCAAAGTAGACGGATATCGAGGGCCTGCTGCACTGTTTGGTGGATGGACTTTTTTTATCTTTTGAACATTTACTTAAGTGAAATTACATTTATTGTTCATTCTTTTGCCAGGCAAACATTTGAATTGTGTGTCACTCATTATTCAGTTGTGATGTTGTGTTGCGTGAATATTTATTAGTGTGTTGACATTTTACCCATCCTTCAGCCTGTCCTTTGCTGTAGTGCAATTCAGTAGACTTGGTAATGCATGTGTTCTTTTGCATCATGTTTCCCTCTTACTACTTTCAAATAATCACAACTCAACTAGTTGTCATTCTTTCATTACATATTTCGCAGTTTATTACTTGAGGGGAATGAAATATATTTGTAAGATTATATACTTTATTTTACACAACTTGCAAGGCCTTGCAAATGCAATATTAATCTTTTTAATCCAGCAGTTAGGTATTTTATAGATGAGGGTTGTAAATGTTGGAAAATGCAATATAGGATTTTCTTCACCATGTTCCTATATGCCCGCATATTGCCATATTCTCTTCCACAAACTACTTGTTACAAGAGGTTTGGAATTGCCTTTCCACTCCCATGTAATTAGACCAGATCAATGCCTCAGTACAAGTTAATACATATACCTCCTGTTTGTTACATGTTTGCAATCATTCCGTTAACTACTACACTTAAGTCTCTTGGTTTTATTTTATTTTTAATGCATTGTAATAGTTACGACTGTAAACAGTTCTGTAATCTGCAGTCCATCCTGATTACTGGTCACGTTATGGTGTTCACTTAGACCTTTAATTTTCAGGGTACTTAATATTAATATGAACATGAGAGAAAATGATATTTAAAACTTGGTATAGTTCATTTTATTTAAAAGTTATGTATATTGCAGGTCATTGCAAGAATAATCAACATTATCGTTGTTTAAGGCTGTAGGTGTTCTGTATTATTATTGCTGTTTTATTGTATTTCATATATAATAATGCATTGTCCAGACTGAATCAGAGTTAATAGTTAATTTTAATATGTTTATGCACTGGTAAATAAGGTACAGACAATTCAGTTGTCCAGTTTGTTTCCTAGGCACGCCGATTCCGACATCAGCCATGTTTCGTAATAGTTTTAGGGTGCTACATTTTCTGTTCCCTTTGAATAATGTGTAATAGACTGGTAGTTGACAAACATACTCTCAGTTAAGGTACGTGGATGAAACTGTGGCACCTCGAAGGTGCAGAGTTATTACACCCCTTCAGTTGTTTAAATTTGGAAGTGGTTTCCTTAATTGCACATTCCATTTGTGTTTCATACTTGAAAGGTTCTTGGCTTACTTGCCGTACCTCTTGATTCCACTGTGCACACCAGGCAATAACCATTTTTAACCACATCTGCTCTACATAATTGTAATGGCTATGCACATGTAGGAATGTCTGAAGTAGACGTAACATTCAAGTAAAAAAAAAATATATGGAAATTTGTACCAATTTAACCCTTTAAAGCCCATGTGGTGTCAATATGTACCACCTTCTTCAACAATCAGTAACTGTGCATTTTGTGTATGTGTTTCGTATGATTGTCAGTGAGAACTGTTTGCTTTTACATACAAACCGAATTCTTAAATAATAGTTATATGAGCTTCATCTTCAAGGTGTTAAAAGTAGTATTCTATTCAAAAATAACTACTATAAATATTACTGATGAGTAGAGGAGAAACATATGAAGGGATCTGTAATTACTGTGAATAAGCAGTTGAGAGCGTTAATGAATAAAGGACAGACTTGTTTTCTGAATTGGTACAACCCTTGAAATAATGTGTTTCTATGTGTAAGGAAGCCACTTTAAAGAGGGCAGCATTTTTAAATTATAAAGTTCTTTTTGAAATCAGTTCAGAAACTTCATGATCATATTCATACATTATTTATGGTATTTTAATATTTAATAGATAATAATATGATTTTTTTAGAACAGAGTATAGCTTCAAGCTAGAGGTGTGTAGTGTTTACAGCAAATCATGTTGAGTAAAGGTTTTCAAAGTATGCTGACAAAGGGGTTAAACAAGCTAGACATTTGCCTATTGTCCTGTCTCTAGCCATGGCTTCAGCTGATGTGCCCAATTCTGTCATCGATGCAGGTTTAATAATTATGATATTTTCTTATTAAGAAAAATGTTTGTTATTTCCTTAATGTGTGTTCCAGGCAAGTATTTAAGCTTGGCATCTGTGTGGTCAGGCATAAAAAAATATTATTTGTGTTTACATGTCATTTTATAGAACAAAAGTTTTGCTAAAAATAGAGAACCTTTCTATATAAGAAAGGATAACATAGACTTTGTTTCTGTTAACAAGATATATTAATGCCATATAATGTATGCAGTTGAAAGATGTTAAATAAACTGAGGGTCTGGTCTGTTTTTTATGTGTAGTGTCAAACTGGTAAACAGAAGACTTGTGATGATTGATTGACTTATAAGATTAAAGTGCACGGAAGTGTTAAGATTTTATATTTGGTGCTCAGTAAGAAGAACTTAAGTTGAGCCTAATTTGTAATGACTTGAGCCCTTCCCAGAAAGCACAAAAATGTAGAACTGAAAAAAGTTTTATATTTTTAAGAAATATTTAGAGATGAAATGATAATTTGAATTATGATTTTTTTTAAATGAGGAGTTCATTAAACATGATACCTGTGAAGATTTTGAAGATGCAAGTTCTTTCCCCCTTATTATTAGGACACAAAGTTTATGTATGGCTTTCATTGCCAATATTTGTACTATATTACATGAATAGCCAGTTTCCAAGAAGTGTTTGAACCATAGTTTGGACTTCAGTTTTTTTCAATGGGAATTATATTGATTTGTCCTTATTATGAAACTGCTTCTTGTGTAGTGTGTTCACAGTCTTTGCATTGAGTTTAGTAAATTCCACGCAAATTATTAATTTTCTGAATATAACTATTAAGCAGAAATAATTATTCTGAATCAAAACAGAACTTCTTGTAAATGTGCTCTCCACCTTCTCCTGTTCTACTCTTCTCCTAGACACACACACACATATCCAAATTTTCATTATGAAACATTTCTGATTTGAATTTTAGTTGAACTTGCCCTTAAAAGGAAGATTTGAACTTGACAGAATATGATTTATAGATGCCCATCAATACATACGAAATACAAATTATGCTAGAAGATGCAGACACGAAGAGCTTGAGAGTTGCTAACTATTTATATGAAAGGACAAAAAATAGATTCACTGTTGTGTGACAAGTGCATAGAAGATTTGAATGCTTCCAAAATGTTAAGAAGCTCCTTTAATCATCAATGATTATAGTATTATTGTGTGCCAGCTGACATTACAAAATAAAATTTAGGCCTATGTTAGTTATGAGGTTACTGCAGTAGGGAAACCTAATTTACCATTGTTAAAGAGAGATGATTTTTTTTTTCATTTGGGTTTGAAATATGTGGCATTTTTAATTTTGTTTAAAAAGTAATTCTACAAATTTTAATTTGACTGAATGTTAAATGTAAAACATGAAGTGTGTTATTGTTCTTTTACCATAAATTATGTATTTTGAAATTAATATTAGGTAATCAAGGTTCTGCTAAGTTTTTATGTGTGCAACAAATGTCTGGTGTGTTCAGGAACTGAAGTTCTGTACTAGGTGGCGTTTTTGACAGAATTGTGCATATTGCTGTAAATGTAAAGTCCTGCTCTTTTCTACCTCCAGGTTTTTATTTGTTTGTTTAGAAGGTTGTCATTCCAGAATTTTGGTGTCTGCTTTGAGTGAGTGCAGAGAAGAAATAACCTAGTTGATATCACTACTAGTGACATATACTTTTCTTTTGTCAATATTGATGCCAGAGGTGTGAAAGCCATCTGAACATCAGGTTTGTATCTTGTCCTGCAAGAGATTAGTTTCCTCACACTTTATTTAAACATTTTGTAGTCATCAGAATCATGTTAAGATTTATTTATCCTCTTGACATGCTATGTTAAGCTGAATTCAAAGCAGTGTTGTATATAAACGAGATGTGTTCCACTGCCAAGCCATTCGGTGTCAATAGTGAGGTTAAATTTCTTGAATATTGTTGAAATATCAAGATTTTGTAAAGGCCTGTCATCAACATAAGTTATGCTGCAGTGCAGTTTAATATTAGTCCTAAAAACTTTCAATTTATTCAAATAAATGTAATAGCATCTGTTGATATGTATATAAGCATCATATTTACTTGTATAAAGCTGTATGAGCACTAGCTTCAACAGAATTTTGAGCCCTGTTGGTACGACAATCTTCACACATATGATCTGTTGCCTTTTTTATTGTTGGAATATAACTTTTGAAATGCTGCTTCATGATTTAAGTTCATCCTTTTTTTTTACCTGAATGAAGGCACTAATAATATGCCTTACAGTTTTTTGTGTACAGGCATTGAGTGTGACAAAAATATTTTTGATGAAACATTACTGTAGTTTGGGTGTGAATGCTGAATCTTTTAGTAAGCAGTATTTACACTGGTATTTATCCCTGCTGTTAAACTTGCCCCTGATGAGTATCGACTTTCCAGTCATGGATTGATCTATGAAAGTACCTGAGTACAGAGGTTGAAACAAAGCCAATTTCAGAATCATGCGGGGGCTATAATCATTACCACAAGTGCCTAGTATTAAAATTACTGCATATAAAACAAAAAAGATACAAAAAATACTTAGGCCCCCCATGCTTTTGAAATTTATATTTGTGCATTTCTCTTCAGTTTTTTTTGTCTTGACAGTAAACAAACTTTTCATATATATTTGTTTTGCTCGTTTGGGTTTTAACATGTTGCAGGTTATAACTAACATTTTAGAGGAGCACACCTCTGTGCATTCATTTCAAACATGGTACCCATCTGCAAGACAAGACCTTATCCCCAGAAGACCGTAGTAAACATCTTCACCACCAGAAGAACCTCAGATTTTCTTTTCCTATTCCCAGCCTACGGGAAATAAAGTTGTTTGATGTACATATTTCCCTTCTCAGGTAGCTCTCAAGAATTTCTGAAAATACTTGTGCTGTAATGCGTTGTGTGACACAAGCAGGAAATGATAATTTTTGTATATGAGTTGAAGCTAGATTCTGCTTTCCTGTCACAAATGAAACCCTGAGTAGAAGTTGATCCACACAGTATTCTGTCCATATGGCCTAATCGACATGTCTCACGGAATAGACGTATGGCATTGTGCCATTCACTTGCCCACTTCATAATTGTTTATTCAGGAATATGATAATTTCTGATGTCATGTAAGGAACAACTCATGTAGAATTTGAGGTTCTCACTGCGGTGTGTACAAAGGTGCTGTCATCTGGGTTGTAGCACCATGTAGCGTGGTGGAAGTTTACAAACATTTTAGAGGTCCTTACTGCCCCCATCATTAGGGTTGTGAGGATCATTGACCTGAAACATTGGTAAATAACTATCAGACTACATGGTGCTTCAACCCAGAAGACAGACATCATTAATCCATGATATTGCCTTTATGTTCATCTGAGTCTGGAGGTAAAATTCCAATATGTAGAAACATTGTCAACCATCATTTTAGAATAAGAAATGTAGCTGTGGTTTAATGAATGCATGATTTCATTCTAAATTTAGTCATTGGTCCTAGGTATTTTCTCCTCATTGTGATATTGTATTTCACTAATGCCATTCTTACATGGCCTGTTCACAGTGTCTCTGGTTATCTTCAGAATTGTCTGTTTGATGTACATAACATTCTTTAATTTGAAGATTGTGCTTAGTACGTCTAGAACTTAACAGTGCTTAATTTGTGATAGATCTAGCTGAGTGTAAGATTTAGAAACATCATAATAACTATAATAAAACTAATTATAAGGGTTGGCAATAAAGTGGCAACACTGCTGTATGTGTGAAGAATCATACAAAGGTTGTTGATCATGTCGTTTGCCTGTAGCATTACAGGCAGCTAGTATGTTAGCTGTTAACACTTGTGCTCACAATGCAAAGTGTTTGCAAACCTGCAAAGTTAAGTTGTCATAACCAGCACTCTGAAATCATGTTTACATAGTCAGAACAGTGCTCCTGGAAAAGAATTTATATTGCATGAGACTTGTATTGTAGTGTAAAAGATTGTTGGTGAAACCCACAGTAATCGTGCAGCATTGAATCTTTACCGTTTTGGATTGTCAAACAGTTGTCAGCATTTCACAGTGGGTAGGGCAGGACGAAGGATAGCATTGTGCAGTGTGACTGCTATTCTGAACCAGAACATTTGACTTATGTGGCCATTCATGTGGACTGATGGCAGATGTTGCATGAGCAAGCCGTGAAGTGGCATCTCACATGCCGAAAGAGATCCTTTGAATGTCCATGTTTACATCATGTTGGGGTTCACCATCATCTGTGTAGCAAAGGTAGCATCATTATAGATGTGATTATCACATAGAACAATACCACAGTCCCAGACCACATAGCCATGGATGAAATTCACGTACTATCATACAAGCCCAAACTGAAATGACACTTGAATGAATGGCACCATCCAGAGTCTTGTCATTTGAAGGAACTATGCCAAGAACCAACTAATATCAGAGTTACGCTGATTATTGTGGTGTTAAGCACTCGTAATGTTATAGTCTACATGCTGTCCCACATGACCAGACTTTCAGCAAACTGTGTGGTGGTCTGGGTTGTGATGCCGCGTGGACTTTTTGGTAGGTACCAACATTTCAGAGGAACATGCTGCCTTAATGTTCTGGCAGAATGTTGGTACCCATCTGCAAGCCCACGCGGCATCACAACCAAAAAGACTGTCTTTGACACCAATAATTTTTCATGACAGTACACATGTATGTGGCTGCCAAGGCTGATGTGGTGGCTGTGGGAAACTTTTGAACACCCAAAATATTCATTGGACATGAGCTCGTCCGATTTACTTCTTTCAAGAGCTGGATGAATCTCTGCGGGGGAAGTAGTTTTGCCAGAGAGAAAAAATCCAGTAAGAAGTGAAAAATATTCAGTCTGCGTGTGGCATCTGTCGCCTTCCAAGAGTGTGGGAAAGTGGTATTAGTGTCACTCCTGGCTCATGTGTTCATCTGGCATGTTGTTATTACTGACTGCAGCGTAATGAAAAGTACGGTGAGTGGCATCCAGTGAAGTTCATGACAAATTTCATGAAAATGTGTCATTTGGTTCAGAAGCTGGCAGAGGAGGCAAGCACATAGACTTTATTTTATTTTTTTTAGGAAAGGAAAGTTGGTTAAAATATGGTTATGTTACAAAATCTTGTGATGTTATAAAATTGTGTTATCTGTTTACAAACAATTATTTGTCTTAGTTCCTGGAACCATTTCATTACAAATTAAGCTCTGGGAATTATTATTATATTTGCAAGTATTGTGACTTTTCTTCCAATGTGGCTTTTACATCTTTCTCAAAGGTGTGCATATTGTGAAGAATATAAATTTAGTTATCACATCACATGCAGAATCTCCGCAATTCAAATGTTGCAGCCACACTTTTTACATTGTTTATTACATGTAATAAACTGTCACTCATAGCAAGAATTTCCTTATAAATACATTTTCAGGATGTTTCATTTGCTGTGTTGAACACCTCTGGCATTATATATTAACAGTTTTCGTTTCTCCAAATGTGGAACATTTGGACAGTATTATTAATCAGTCTCATTCTGGTATAACTCTGTGTGTCTGATTTGTATAGTTGTAAAGATTATAGCCTTTATTTAGCCGTAGTATGTAATTTTTGTAGACAGGCAAATAGTATATATCTGTTAGTTTTTTACTTTGTATGGTTCGGCTATAACACAAGTGAAGTATTAAGGAATGCTGTTTCATAACAGGTCTGTTTAGGATGTAACGTGATGATATGTGGCAACAGAGCACAAAGAACTCTAGGAATGTGGTGTAGGAAGAAGCCTTCAGCATTTGAATCAATTGTTTTTATAAAACGGTTTATCTGTAATGCAGGATTTATCAAGAATGTAACTGTTGTGTTCTATCGGGATATATGGGATCTTGTAACAAGCATATGTTTATGTTGTGTTAAAGTGTATTGGGGATATACCATTTGGAACGTAGTTGTTACACTCTGATGAATTTGTAGTTTGTATGTGTGTTCATGTGCAAGAAATTTTTCTTTCATTTGTCACTTGCCCTGTTATGAAGATTGGTGTTAGAATAAGATTCTGTACTATAGCAGATTGTGAGTAGTTGACAAACCCACGACTCTTCCTTCTACCCTTCTCTCTCCTTCCACTGTTGCTCCTTATTATCGCTGATATTCACAATTCTCACTGGGCTTTTTGTGGTTGTGAATGTGAGAGTTTGGTCCCTTATCAGCAGCATCCCTGGCCCTTGATTTCGTTCCCGTTTTGGGTTATGATTCCCAGTGGTGATTGTAAATGTGAATCCCAAAAATAGGTGGGTTCCCAATTGTTATTGCAACAGTTTCCCTTAACATTAAAAATGTAACTTGTTCAGTAGTCACAAGACAAAGAAAAAAAATCCAAGTGTTTTAAGAATATAATGTAATAATGTTAATAATACGTGTTATGGTTTTTGCTCAAGAGATATGCCATTATGTCTTGTAGGAATAAGGGCTGATAAATTCATATGTAAGTTCTTTTGTAGTTTTAGTATTTGAAACACAGGTGGTAAATTTGAAAATGGTTATATAATTGGTGATTTATTGGAATTTTGAGGATTTACTAGTTATTTCACTGAATAATCAATTGCCATTTTACAGAGTTCAGTGTAAGAGTCAGCAATTTCCATAAGTTAGCCGGTTCTTAATGTTCTCTGAAATCGTCATTCAAGAGGGCCAGAGAGATTTAATTAATTAATTGTTTTTAACTGGCTTTTCTTCTCACAAATACACTTTTCTCTCCTGTGTCTAATGGCATACAAAGAGGGATGGGAACATAATGCCAATAATAATTTAGTGAAAGAAGAAATAAGCCAGAATTTAAACAACAAAAATATTTGAAATATGCTCTCACAATACTTGTAACCAATTAATTAAATTGTTCAATGGGCTGTTTTAATTGTCTTCAGTTTGTATCTGCATATCTGTAAATACTACAAATAACACTTAACACAAGTTTGTATTATACTCTTACTGTTACTATTACCACTACTATTGTTAGTATTACTACCATTATGCGTAGAGGTAGACATACCGGAGTGTATTTTTTTGGCTCTAGTATAGTAAAAATATGTACCATAAAGATTAATAATAATAATAATAATAACAATAGTAATAATAATGTATTAATATGATAATTGTATATTCCTTTACTAAACTGTTGTTGATATAAGGAGTAAGTACTGATTTGTTATGGCAAGCAGAGAGAATTTTTATCTTTCAGACTGCATTCACTTTAAAGGACAGGCTCTTTTAAACTTGGCTGCACGAGTACAGTCTTTATCTTGATTGAAAAGTTATATGACTGTAAATGGGATATATTTATAGCGACACTTATGTAGTGGGCAGCAGAAATTCCTGTGTAGTTTTCATTTTCATTAGACTTACCAGTGTTTCAGTTGGAAACAAATATCCAAGTAAACTATTGGAATAATTTTTTTCCCTAATTGCAGTGTAGAGGTCTCCAAATTAGTGACTATAGGTGCAGTACAAGTCTTTATACATCATATTCTGTTTTCTTCTCACCCTCAGACATTCCCATGATGTTGTCTTGTAACTGATTGTGAAGTTATATTTATGTGAATGGGAATTACTACAGAAGTTTTGGTGATAAAGGAACATATGTAAGTAGTCAGTATTAGGTGAGATTTCAGGTTCTGACAGCAGAAAGTATGAAGATGGCTTTCTTTCAAGGTCATTTCACTGAGTAGTCTTGTAGAAGTTTACTGATATTTCAGAGGTGGTTGCTTCCTCTATCATTGGGGCAATTACCCTGATGATGGAGGCAGCAGGCAGTCCTTTATTTAATCACAAACTCTTCATACATTACAACTCAGCATGATAATATCAACTTACTGAATTAAAACTTGGATGGGCTGTAAAATCTTCAAAATGACACCATAAAAATTTAATATACAAAACTGGATGAATACTGTGTAAGATATGAGGTTTTCACAGTGATGAAAATTTGTCTTATGAGTTAAGCCTAAATGTAGGATCTGAGGATGGCTATTTTCTGGGTTGGAGTGCCATGTGGTCTGGCAAAATTCTACCAGACTATGTGGCACTCCAACCCAGGAAACAGCCATCTTCTAAGTGTAAGTGATTTGAAATCAATAAGAAACAAATAGGATTTGAGGTTATAATGGCAGTCTGTTGGGTTGTAGTGCCATTAGCAGACTACATGCCACTGCAACCCAGAAGACAGCTGTCTTCCAAGAAAAAACACTTACACTGTACAATTCTGGATGTAATGGGGGGTAATAAAACCTCTGACACAAAAAACAGATCACATCAGCATGGCATTGAACTTATTAATAAACAAACTGAGAAGTGTCATATCATTTATACTTAAAAATTGTGATCTGCCTCAGAAGTTTATAATGATTAAACATATTATAATTATTTTTATTGGATTTCTGAACTTTGTTTGGTGTTCCGCAAACTGGATCTGTTTCTGTCCTCAGGTGAGAAGACTGGGAGCGTCTGCTGTCTTGGTTCCGTTAGAATCAATGGACAGCCAACTCTTCATCTGAGGATGGAAACAGATCTACTTCCTAAAGTATGTTTTTTTTTTTCAGAATACCAGATGGTGGACAGAGTTCAGAAATATGGTACTAACTGTGATATACCAGTATCAGAAAACTTTAGAACTGATCAGACATGAAAATAAAATTACAGTATGTGTGGTACTGTGTGTTTTCCAGAAATTTCCTCTAGTAAGGTAATGTATCTTTTACATTTTAAGGTGTAATGTAATGTGTGACATAATTGTAATGTAACTTGATAAATGCAAAATTCTCATCTTGCAAAATGAAAAGCATGTTGGCATCAGAACTACTGCATTTCTGATTAAAGTGTTACGAGACCAGGTTCCTTTTACTAGCATAATGCTACATTTCATATTTTCCGTCTGTTTCTATGTCTAATTTTGCTGCTTTTATTATTCTTTGACATCCCTGATATTTTATATTTTTATTTTAGTAATGGTTTAGTCACTGAGGTTTGAGATAAGTGTTGCTTTTATTAGGTAGATTGCGTGTGTTGTTAAAAAATGAAAAGCTTGGTGGATTTTCCACAGGAAAAATCGAACAGTAAAATGGAAGTATGGATGGAAAATTGTACCAAAAACTGTACAGTTATTCTGTTTGAATTGTTTGTTTTCTTTCCTGTTGTTTGGGCTAACTAAATAATGGCTCACCTCATATGGAATGTAATTGAACTATAAGGTGCAAAGACAGGTATAGAATATACTAATGAGAGTAATATGAATCTATTATTAAGACTACAAACAGTGTGGAGTAGCGTCCTTGAGAACCTATCATCACTCAGCTAGTCTAGAAAATTCTAGTTTTTTGTGGACAAACGACTACGATGTTTTCAAATAAAAGAGCTGATACAAGTAGGTGCTCTGATTTTCTGTGTCTGTAATAATGAACCTTTCACAAGCACCGTGATTAATAAAGCAAACAGACATTGCTACTGCAGAAATGTTTCTCTGATCGGCTGCTAGAGGTATGAGGCATTTACATGTTTAAATTGAAAGGTACGCGTCTTATTGAAAGTTTACATTTGTATTCAGAAGTCTAAAATTGGACTTTGGATAAAATTAAAAAGAGAATTTGAAGGTATTTGGATATTTAATTCTTTTACATTTTGGTATGCTTTTGCTAAAAATATAAATGTACTGAATCCGCTGAGTATTTGACTCATCTTAATTATTAGTAGTCTTGTAATACTCCCATTGGTTTACATTTATTTTGAGCTCTCAGAGTCATAAATTGTACATGCATAAGAACATATCTCATTTAATTTTTATTTTTATATTGTTTTAGGTGTATGAAGAATTGGTCCTTTCTCCCTTCAGCTTCTTATGCAAGTTAACTTAAATTCTTAATAATGTTGTGGAATGATGATCTGCCAAGTGTAAGTACAGTGAGTTTTCTAGATACAGTGGCTGTGAAGTGAACTTGTGTGTTATGGGTTGGCCCACTGGTACTGCTGATCCATCAGTCTGTTGAATTTGTTGTTGCTTTAGTAGGCACATGAACTGTGACATCAGTTTGGTAAGGTTTATTACAGTCTTGATCATCATTTTCCAACCATAATAAAATAACCATTATCAATCACTATAAGAAATGAGTTAACTGCCATCATTATCATCAAATCATCATCTTAAAATCCTCCTCCTTTGTGATGATGATTTTATGGAGGATGCCACATCTTGTGGGTGTGATGTCAAGTGATGTGGCTGCTGATAGATGAGAACAAAATATTTTCAGCTGAAAGACATCATGGGCAGCACATACAAAAGCATTATGCTAAAGCATAAAGACTTTCAAAAAATAGGTTTAGATTGAGCATTGTAATGATGCGACAAATTTCTAAATAGAAAATTAGTCCCTTGTATAATGTATGGAGCATTTCAAGTACTTGGGAAGCATAGTCACGACGGACGCTCTGTGCACCAAGGAAGTAAAAGCAAGGATAGCCATGGCCAAGGCAGCTTTCGTCAAGAAGAGGATACTTCTCACTAGCAAGTTGGGCTTGGAGATGAAGAAGAAACTAGTGAAGTGTTACGTATGGAGCAGAGACTTGGACACTCAGGAAGAAGGAACAGAAATACCTGGAGAGTTTTGAAATGTGGTGTTGGAGAAGAATAGAGAAGATCAGGTGGACGGATCGAGGGACCAACGAAGAAGTATTGAGGAGAGTCAAAGAGCAAAGAATCATTCTGCAGGCGATTACACGAAGGAAAGCTAACTGGCTGGGACATATTATGAGAAGGAAGGGGTTACTGAGTGACATCATCGAAGGCCAGGTTGAAGGAAAGAGAGGACGAGGAAGAAGATTGATACAGCTAACCGACGACCTTAAACAAGGAAAGAAGATGACGTTCCAGGAATTAAAGCGAGAAGCCAAGAATAGGGACAACTGGAGAGCTCTTTTTGGGCAGAGCAATGGACCTGTCGTAAGACAGAACACTTAATAAAAAATAATAATACAAAATGTTACCACTGAAGATGGTCTCATGAGGTTGAAACACGTTTGACAAATTGAAGTGTAAACAGTGATAAAAGTGGGTGGCTAGCAACTTCACAATGGTATACTTTATTATACACTTCCTTCATTCTGTTACATAGTATATTAACAGTCAAGGCAAGGCTAAATATACTACACTCGACACTGACCAACTGTTATGACCGTCTTGATCTTGTTACCCTGCTGTTTTCAAATGAGAAAAGGAACTGTCCCATATTATAATAAATTTAAAAAGATGTGGTTAAAATATAGTTCAACGGATTAACTTTGATTTAAAATAATCATGAATGTGTTGGCTCAAACGAGAGTTAAGACGATTATATTCTCCAAACAATTGTTTGCAACTAAATTATGTACTTTTGAACATGGCTAATAGCAACTGCAACATATGCAAATAATTGAGTTACAACATGAATATAGAATACATTGATGGATGTTCTGCTCCTTTTATCAGTTTGACATCTAACAGACAAAGAATTGTTATAATTTTATTGCAACTCGAAGCTGCCTACGAGTGATGGTTAAAGAACATGCCTCTTTCACAGTATAAAATATACAACTCTGTAGGATTTTTCATGCAAGTTATTTACAATACAGACAATCAGAATAAGTAGACACATGCAGCTAAAAATACATCTCTGTAGAAATACAATTGATATGTTGATGAAATTACTACCTACCACCAAGATCAGAAGCTATGTTATATATTGTGTCTTATTGGCACATTAATGATGACATATAAACTGGAAGATATTAAAACCCTTACATCTGTCTGAAGTCATGCAGTAAATACATTGTTTCATGTAGACAAGAGGTTAAATGATATAATTACTTATTACTCTTTTTTTTATGAGTGGCACTTATAATTCCCTATTAATTATACTTTGTGAAATTTTTTTTTACACATTTGCTGGAGTGATTCGTCAGGCCCATAAGATTTTTTTAGTTCGCAGTATATTGCCGTTAGGAAGAGTGCTTTCTGTGCGGTTGCATGCCGACTGTGCGGGGGTGGGGAGACAAAAAGCAGAATCAAGATTGCATAAATGCTGAGATGCGCTGCTGGTATGCAGCAGCGTTTTATCTTTTAGAAAGAAACAGAAAAATAGTAAATCTCCTAAATGGTTTGTTTCTCCAATTCCCAAATTAATCGATTCTTTATTATGTGTAACTTGTCAGAAGTGGGTGGCTTGCCTCTGTCTTCAGTAGCCTTGTTCTTGGATAGTGGCAAAAAGTCCTGGTCTAGAAGTTGGGTCACATAGAATTTAAAGATAAACACAGCCTTCTGAAATATTCCTCTGTGTAGTCTCACAGAAGTTGACCAACTTTTGTTAGACTACAGCAGGCACAGTATTCCTGAAGGCCATCTTCACACTTGCTGCTAAGGGAACCTGAAACCCTATACAGAACTTAGAATTTATGACCTGGCAGGACTAATTGAACCATATTGGGGGCATCATGCCAGAAGGGCATATCAGCAGAATGACTGATTCACAGAAGAATAAATTCTTATGCTTGTTTTGATTGACAAATAATGTATATCCCACTATTTTATGTTGTTAGACCAAATACCTCAAATTATACATATACGTTGATATGCCCTTGATATTCTCTCTTTCACTTTTATGCATGTGTGATAGAAAGTTTTGGGATATCTAGTCAAGCACATAATCTACCTGCTTTCCTGGTCTTGTGCATTTGCAACTAAGAAATGCTGTATTTCAGCTTATGAACTTTCCTATGTTCCTAAGCTGGATGTCATCTGGATTATTGTGCCATGTAGTCTGGTAGAAGTTTACCGACGTTTACTTTTGGGATAGCTAACGCCATGCACTCACCAAGTCATGTCAATTGGCTTACCACAATCTTTGAATGCTGATGCTCTGGGGTCTGAAAAAATTGTAGTTGTTTAGGTATTGGTACCAGATCAGTGGTCCTTGAAGCAATATGGATATTGTATTTTGTTTATTTGGGGAAACATATTCTGTTTCCATTGTAAACCAAAGGAAACACATTATGGGAGCAATTAAAATATTAAAAATTTGAACAACATTATTGGTTGGTACTGATTTTCATTTTAATATATGTTTCAAAGTGTGTTATGGGCCTTGAGACATTTAAATTACGCACATTTCTCCCCCAAAGACTTCAGTATAATCATATACCAATCTTGTTCCTGTTTACATGCCAGTCACATTTCATAATCTGCATTATTTCCGTAGCTCATTTGTCAAGCTGTGTGTGGTGGCATTATTCTTCCTCGTGTTGTATCCACGCATGGGTCTACTTTTACACAGGTGTGTCTGTCTGCCCATTCGTGCATTTCATCTGCAGTCCTCCAATCTCATCCTGTCCTCACATTTTCTCATATA